TTTTTTTCTCCTGGTGGTACTAGGGATCAAACTCAGGACACCTTGTGCTTACCAGGTAGGTGCTTATGCCACTGAGCTATCTCCCCAGCCCTCTCCCATGTTCTTAAACAGAAATATATGTATTATATTCTGAAACATTTTTTTCATCTGTAGAACCTTTTTCTTATTAGCATGTACTCATCTAAGTCGTTCCAGTAGATTTTTGGTATTACCATAAAAATGGTTTTGCTGTGGCTTATTTGGTTATTTTTTAATGTTTTTTGCTTTCTAAAAATAAGCTAAGCATGGTGGTGTATACCTGTAGTCTCAGCACTCAGGAAGCAGAGACGCTAGGATTTTTTTTTTTTTTTTTTTTGTGGAACGGGAGATTGAACTCAGACCCTTGTGCTTGCCGGGGAAATGCATATTCTACTGAGCTATCTCCCAGGCTCCTAAAATATCTTTTTAAATAACAAGAAGATATTAACATGGGAAAATGTTTATGGTTTTGAATAAAATGGAAAAGACAAATTATACTTATTTAGTGGTGACTATGAAGTTGATTCCTCTTTTGTCTTTTTTAAAATTTTGTTTTGTGTATTGAGACAGTGTCTTGCTATATAGTTTAGGTTGGCCTTGAACTCACTGTATGCACCAGGCTGGCTTCAAACTCATGGCAATCCTTCTGCCTCAACCTCCCAAATACCCAGATTATAGCCATGAACAACATGCCAGACCTCTTTTTCTTTTTCTTTTTTTTTTTTTTTTCCTTTTTCTCTTTTCAAATACAATTTATATCACTTTGATAATAGAAAAAAGAAATGAGTCGTGATGGTGCCCTTCTATAATCCCTGTTCTCTGGGAGGCTGAGGTGAAAGAATTACCAGTTGAAGTTCCACCTGTGCAGTTTAACAATGTAGTGAGGCCTTGTCTCAAAAAGATCCTGAATTTAGTGCCTAGTACCAAATAAATAAAATGGGTTGATAAATCTATAGTGCTTTAAGATGTTAGTTGGTTTGTAGAGCTGTTTGCATTTCACATGAAGTATATGACTAAGGCAGTCTGAGATTGACTGAAAATTTCCAACACCATATACCTCTTTAAAAAG